ATCCGAAAAATTGGCCAGGTTAAAGGCAAAGTACATCGTTTAATGCATGTAAATTTAGGAATGTCAAATCAAATAGAATAAAATTGTTAATGTTGATATGACTCATATAGAATGTTAACTTGAAACTGTATATATGTAAAGTGAAAATTTAAGATCTGTGATCAGAATATAAATATGGGTCAGATAGGGTGAGAGAGATACATGATAGTGCAATTACAATTCGATCAAGTGGAAGACTAAATTGTGTGAAAAATTAGTGAGACGTAATAAAGAGGGATCAATGCGATGTGAATGAATCATGTTTAGGGGGATTAATAACGATATTTAACCAATAATAATAATAATACAAAGATTTGTGAATGAAGATAAGAGAGACAATTACATTTGACTACGAAAGGTCGTAAGTACATAGTCAAATTAGGTCATACAATAGCTAAGGTGATTGTTCATTAATTGGCCTTGTGGTTGGCCAAGGGAGAACAAGGGGTTGCAGATATTTCTTCTGTACACATAGCTCAGGTTTCTTCATTCTGATGGCTACTGCCTCCGCCGTTTGAAGGATTTTAATCCTGACAAGCTTAGGCAAAAAGTTACTGACCCTATAAATAATTGAAAAAGATTGGTTTATACTGGCACTATGACCAGTTTGTACTAAATGGGCCAAAATCGAGTTGTTTACTTTCCTCATCAGTATAAACCAGCCAGTACAAACCAATCTTTTTCAATTATTTATAGTGTCAGTAACTTTTTGCCTAAGCTTGTCAGGATTAAAATCCTTCAAACGGCGGAGGCAGTAGCCATCAGAATGAAGAAACCTGAGCTATGTGTACAGAAGAAATATCTGCAACCCCTTGTTCTCCCTTGGCCAACCACAAGGCCAATTAATGAACAATCACCTTAGCTATTGTATGACCTAATTTGACTATGTACTTACGACCTTTCGTAGTCAAATGTAATTGTCTCTCTTATCTTCATTCACAAATCTTTGTATTATTATTATTATTGGTTAAATATCGTTATTAATCCCCCTAAACATGATTCATTCACATCGCATTGATCCCTCTTTATTACGTCTCACTAATTTTTCACACAATTTAGTCTTCCACTTGATCGAATTGTAATTGCACTATCATGTATCTCTCTCACCCTATCTGACCCATATTTATATTCTGATCACAGATCTTAAATTTTCACTTTACATATATACAGTTTCAAGTTAACATTCTATATGAGTCATATCAACATTAACAATTTTATTCTATTTGATTTGACATTCCTAAATTTACATGCATTAAACGATGTACTTTGCCTTTAACCTGGCCAATTTTTCGGATTATTAATTTGCATATATAGTTGTAGAACCTGAAGAGAATTTATCGAAAAGAATATTCTTCGTTCAAATAGTAGTCTTTTAATTGTTACTACGTCATACTAAAATGTATTGACTCTAAAAAAACCCTCACAGAAGTCATTGTAGTACTCTATCTGTGATAGTTTATTTACAACCACATTTTCTTACATCGGTACGTGACCAATCGTACAGTCATACTCTTGTAGATGCGACGTCCATCGTGATGAGTCACCTCGAGGGTCTTTCACTGTTTCTATCCATTGTTGTGTTTTGTGATTAGTCTTAGAAATGGTCTCTATTCGCCTAACACCAACTATTGTACTTATTACGGAAACGTGGTGCAATTCATCTATATCCGATCACTCCCTGCATGTAGATAACTACGTTTTCTTTAGAACCGATAGATGTAATGGATTAGGAGGCGGTACACTTATTTATGTCCGTTCGGATATTCAGGCCGGCAAATTTGATGATAAATCCCTTGATGCTATAGACGACTCCACCTGGATTACTGTAAACTGTGGATCTCGAAATTATCTACTGGTGGGATGCATATACAGACCACCCCATGAAGACTCTAGGTTTGACAGATAACTAACAAACATCTTTCCCGTTGCTTCACACCAACCGCATACTTTTAAAATCATCGGAGGTGATTTTAATCTGCCAAACATTACATGGGATTCGAATCCGGTACCAGGTCGACATGACAAGTTAGTTGAAACACTAGAACTTTATGGATGGGTCCAACAGGTCCGAGAACCGACTAGAAGGAATAATATACTTGATTTACTATTTACAATCAACATAGATTCTATTTCAGTGCATATTAGTCATCAGTTTTTTAAGAGTGATCACAGAGTAGTATTGTGTATCTTTCATTCTTTCGACGCCATACAATTGAATTCTAAAGCTGCAGTGATGTACAAGAGTAGACATTTTGATCAACAAACCTGGAAACGGACTGAAAGTCTTATTTGTTGTTTACCATGGGAAACTTATTTTACCACAAATAATATTGACATTGCGATCACTGATCTATACCACAACTTGATACACTGCCTCGACTGCACTGCTCCAATTATTAGCCATGTGACTTATAACGCCAATAGGGGTCAGAATAATTTTAAAACTTTTAAAAGAAAACTGAGGAAATTAAAACAATGTTTCCACAAGCATAATGATTTGTATGCACTACAGAGTATACTTAAGTTAATTGACAAGAGTGCTTCATCTAAACACAAGTATTTTATGAATATAGAAAATAAAGCCCTAGGTAATAAAAGCCCAGAATTATCAATACTTTGGCTTTTTAAATCGCGTGTGAAGTCAAATTATCTTGGCGCGACCAAATTCTTCATAGTTAACGGAAGAATTATTGATGACCCCGATATTATTTGCGAACAATTCAGTCAGCATTTCTCGCAGTGCTATAACACTAGAACTGAAAGCTGTATCAATACATTTCCAATGCTGACATGCAGACACCTGTCGAAAATTGATTTTGTACCCTCCAACATCAAGCAGGCCATCAAGGCCACAACTGCCTTGAAAAAGTCCTATGACGGTGGACCTGACGGGATTCCTTCATCATTTGTGAAATATGGTAGTAGAGAATTCTCATTATTTTGTTTAAAACTTTTCAACCTATCTATGAAATATGGGGCCTATCCATCTGTATGGAAAACATCAATTATCACCCCCAGATTCAAAACCGGATCAATCGTTAACTACAGACCAATTAATTTGACATCCGTGCTGTCACGATCTATGGAAAAATAATCCACAAACAGCTATTATCATTTTTGCTTTCGGCTAATTTGATTAGCCCGTCCCAACACGGGTTTATGACCAAACGCTCATGCTTCACATCGCACCTGGAATTTTTTGATCAAATTACCCAGAGAAGAGATGTTGGTCAATCAGTGATAATTCTGTACTTCGACTTTAGTAAGGCCTTCGACAGCGTCTCACACAAACTTCTTCTTCTAAAACTCTCTTCATATGGAATACAGAATCCCCTTTTATCTTGGCTCAAGTCATTTTTAGAAGAACGTAGCCAAATTGTCCGCTTTGGATCTTGCTACTCCAAACCTGTGAATGTAACCAGTGGGGTTATACAAGGAAGTGTAATTGGTCCATTACTATTTCTTCTTTTCATCAATGACGTTTGCTCTCTCTTTCAATATGGTAAACCTTTTCTTTTTGCCGATGATCTAAAAGTTGTTTATTCATTCTCATCTCCCATCAAAGAAAGCCATATTTCAACGGTAATCCAAGAAGAAATAAACAAGTTGTACGAACGGACTATTTCGTGGAATTCGCCACTTAATGTTGACAAAAGTGGATTTAATAACATCGGCCGCTGCCTTAACCTAAACCTGGTTATACAAAAACATACACTGAAACCTCTCAACACTGTTCGTGACTTGGATTTAAGATATAGCGACAGTTTGAACTTTTCTGAACACATTGCATCTCAAGTATCGAAAGCTAGAAAGCTCATCGGATTCATAATGATTAATTTCAATAATACCAAATCGAGAATATTATTATACAGAAAATGTATATTACCAATTCTTGAATATGGTATTTTAGTTTACAGTAATTGCAGGTATAATGACCTGATTAAAATTGAAGGTGTTCAAAGAAGGTTCACCAAAGCTGTTTTGGGGTATTCTGACAACAAAGACTATCACCAAAGATGTCAACAACTCAAACTAGAAGCTCTCTGGATCAGACGTATCAAATCAAACCTTATCTTTCTCTACCGGCCTCTTAATGGTATTTCTTACTCTTCGCTATCTACCCCTTCATACTCTATGATACCGTCCCACAATCTACGCAGTGAGGAAAATATTCCAGCGATTCCAAAATCTCACACAAATTTACGCCAGAATTTTTTCGTTACTCGCTACTCAACCATGTGGAATAGACTGCCGATGAACCTCCGATGCAGCGAAACTATAACCCGGTTCCGAAGTCTTCTTGATGATTTTCTTTCCGAAAGTGGATTGTGTCACCTACTGAATATCAACGTGCTTAACAATGATTTATACAAAAAAGGTCCGTCATCTATCTGACTGACTGAAAAGCAAAGTGAAACCTTTGAAGCCTATTTTATTTCACTTTTATTCATCTTAATATATGAAGTCTGCTTATGTTCGTATTTATAATTATTACTGTTATTAATGTCATTATTGGTACCTCGATACAGTAGATATTCTCTTCATCTCTTCTTGTCCTTCTAAACATATTTTATTCCTAAACATCCAAAGTCTACATATAAAAACAAAAAACCCTATGCTACACTTAAACAAATAAATTCTCAGATTTTTTAATAATCTCCACAACATACACATAACATATAGAAATTTATATTTCATTATCCTTTGCAATTAATTATGACTACCATAGAATTATTCTAAATTATTATTGCACTAATGTTTATAATAATAATAATTTATTCTCAAATAACAGATTGTTACACGAGGCATGCCGGTTTACAGGCAAGATCAAATTGTTAAAGAAGTTACAATTTTCACTGTTGAAAATTACTCAGCTGGGTTGATATTTCATAAGATATGAATGTAAATGGATTTCGTAAGAAACACATCAATATCACACTTGACACACTTAATGGAGGTAGCGTTGCAACATACAACTGATGGTTGAGAATAGATACATGCGAAGTTGGGGGCTTTTAGAAGTTTCGAACTTATATCCCTCCGGAATATCTGAGGCTTTAATAACGGTATAGGACGAAGTCACCCGTGCCATATCTGTTTTCGGTGGAGTATCTGCAGGAGGCTGAAAAAGGTGTAAGAAAAAGGAAGGACGAAAAGCAGAGCACACAATATTCATGGAGGAATAGTTAGTGTATAACCATTTAGTTCATTTGTCTGTTACTGAAGTATTTATTAGGTAAGAACATACTAATGTGTTAAAGAAAAATAAGTGTGGGCAAGGAACTGCATAAATGAAGGTAGTTCAGAAGAAAGTATGGAATTGTGTAATTATAAAATAAAGTGCTGAAAACAGTATTCCGATACAAATGGCTGTCTCCCTTTTTATTTCAAAGCTGTTTGAACTCTCTTTTTTGTTTTTAGATTTTATAGGGTATAGAGTGGGCTTCGTTTTTAGCCAATTGCCTAGTTTGCTTGTAATAGGATTACTCGGTAGGAAGTGGAACCAATTTAGCTTTTTTTAACATGATCTAAAGTGGTATTTCTCATGAATAATTTCGCATCAATACCGTTGGTTCGTGACATTCCACTAGACATAAGGAGCCGTAATTAATATGTTCTGCCCTACAGACACGGGTGGATTGAAGTTATCTTCCCACCATCATTTTTGCTGGTCATTAACGCCACCCTCCCTCCTTTTATGATGTTAGGCTCTCTTACGTTTGTGGTCAGTATGAATATTGCTTTAATCAAGGACCATAGTTGGAATACACTGTCTCTACAAGTTCCATGTTACAAGCGAATCAGATGGTAATAGCATTTGTATTATGGGTTAGATATCCATTTAATATATCGTACTACTATGAAGATAACTAATGGCGAAGGTTATAAGAGACAAGTAAGATTATATGTGGTTATGAGATGGTAAGGACTAATAGCAAACCAGAGGATATGAAAGAGAATATTGTGAAATTTTCAGGGTAAGGAAAACAAAACATTGAACAACTCACAAGAATTTAGGACATTTGAGCTTCTTTTGATCGGCCTTAGTTGGTCAGCATCCATAAGATTAGTGAGTTATCTGTCTACTTGTAATAAGAAAAATAAAAGGACATGACACTTAGGAAGAATAATTTGGATTTATCCATTAGAGAAATTCGGAAACCGAAAATGAGGGTTAGGAGCGGAAGGCCATGGTTAATAATCAATAAATAGTGGGGGAGGATGAAGCATGTTTTCTTTAGTTTTGCTATATTCAAACTAATGACAATGGAGTTCGTTATATTCTTGTTCCGTCTAGATATTGGGCGGTCCATAATAAAGTGCCTCATTGGTAGGCGGGAGTTCAAGGAATAGTTGAAGTTCTTTAGAGTTTAGTAACAGGGTTATTAGCCTTTTAAATTTGGTGAAGGTATCACAGTTACGGATAGGTATTGGCAACCTGTTCCACAATAAACTATACCGAACTGTAAAAAACCTACAACGCATTTGTTTTTGGTGTTTTTCGGTAAATAGTTTATATGCATTGTTTCTTAGTCTATAGGCTGGGTTATTGATCGTAGTTGGGCAGGAGGTTAGGAATGACAGTCCATTTATTGCTTTGTAGAGAAATATCAGATTGTTCCTTAACCTACGGTGCCATAAAGGTTCTAAAGAGAGGTGCTTACATCTACTTGTGTAATCAAGAGTGGTGTCACTTCCTAGCAGTTGGCGTGTAAAGCGTCTTTGAACATCTTCTACTCTTATTTTGTCAGTGGTATTCATATTAGAGAAGATAAAAGGGCAGTATTCTAAGGAAGGTCGTACACATATTTTGTAAAGGGTAAGCTTAGCATCCGTCGTGAAGAAATTTTTCATTATGAAGCCAATTAGACGTCTGACTTTAGAAATAATAGAGGAGGCGTGTGCTTTAAAGTTTAGGCTTCCAGTGTAATTTATTCCTAGATCGTGTACTGAATTAAGTGTCTGGACTTTACTTTTATTTAAGTAAAGTTGGGGTTCATAGGGGTGCATGATCCCGCATTTGTGGAGGTGAAATGGTAATTGCCACTTTTCGCTCCAGATAGTTAGGTTATTGAGATCATCTTGAATCAGGGGTACACTTTCACTTAGAGCCTCAGGCTTATAACTGTATACTATTTTGAGATCATCAGCATATAAGTGTGGTTTCCCAGATTTTATGATGTTACATATATCGTTTATATACATGAGAAACAAAAGTGGGCCCAATACAATTCCCTGGATGACTCTACTAGTTATTGGTCTAGGTAATGAGAGACAGTCGTGGTACTTTACCATTTGTTTACGTTCCTTTAAGAATGAAACAAACCATGAATAGAGTGGGTTGTTGATTCCGAAGGACCGTAGTTTGGCTAGTAGCCGTTTGTGTGGAACCTTATCAAAAGCTTTCTTAAAGTCTAAAAATATGACTGATACAAGGAGTCCATTGTCTCGTTTCAGAGTTATATCATTCATGTAGTCCACTAGGCATGTATCACATGATCTGGACCTAAGAAATCCATGTTGGGAGACCGAGATGAGATTATTAGTAATTACATGTTGGACTAACGCCGCCTTAACTACTTTCTCCATCACTCTAGACACCACTGAAGTTATGTTTATGGGTCGGTAATTTTCAACATTTGCTTCAGGTCCTGTTTTAATTTTGGGAATGATGTGTGTAGTTTTCCAGACAGTAGGGTAATGCGCTGTAGAGAGTGATATCGCAAATAGTTTGAGTAATAAAACACACATATCATTTCCTCCACGTTTTAACATGCTAGTCGGAATACCGTCCGGTCCATCAGTGTAGGAGTGTTTCAGTGTACTAATTGCCTTAGAGATATTCTGTACATTGAAGTCTACGTTAGTAATCTCACAGGCAGATGCTGTGATAAGTTCTGAATCATTAAGTGGTTTTTCATCAGTTAATGAGGAACAAAAGTGTTCATTAAATAGTTCCGTAACAAGTTTAGGATCTTCGTACACTTAATTACTTACTTACGCCTGTTACTCCCAATGGAGCACAGGCCGCCGACCAGCTTTCTCCAACCCACTCTGTCCTGGGCTTCCTTTTCTAGTTCTACCCAGTTCTTGTTCATTCTTCTCATGTCTGTCTCTATTTCTCGACGTAATGTGTTCTTTGGTCTCCCTCTTCTCCTTTGACCTTCAGGATTCCATGTGAGGGCTTGTCTTGTGATGCAATCAGGTGATTTCCTCAAGCTGTGCCCAATCCACTTCCAGCGCTTCTTCCTGATTTCTTCCTCTGCTGGAATCTGGTTTGTTGTCTCCCACAGTAACTTGTTGCTGATAGTGTCTGGCCATCGGATCCGAAGTATCTTGCGTAGACAGCTGTTAATAAACACTTGTATCTTCTGGATAATGCCTTTCGTAGTTCTCCACGTCTACGCCCCATACAGTAGGACTGTCTTGACATTTGTATTGAAAATTCTAACCTTGGTGTTGGTTGACAATTGTTTTGAGCTCCAGATGTTTTTCAGTTGTAGGTATGCTGCTCTTGCTTTGCCGATCCGCGCCCTCACATCTGCATCTGATCCACCGTATTCATCAATGATGCTGCCCAGATATGTAAAGGTTTCCACATCCTCCAAAGCTTCTCCGTCAAGTGTAATTTGATTGGTGCATATTGTGTTGTATCGGAGAGTCTTGCTTTTCCCTTTGTTTATATTGAGACCTACTGCTGCTGAGGCTGCTGCTACACTGGTCGTTTTCTCCTGCAATTGTTGTTGCGTTTGTGATAGAAGAGCCAGATCATCCGCGAAGTCTAAATCGTCAAGCTGCATCCTGCCTGTCCACTGTATCCCGTGATTTCCTTCAGATGTTGACGTCTTCATGATCCAGTCGATGACCAGGAGAAAGAGAAAGGGTGAGAGTAAGCAACCTTGCCTAACACCAGTCTTTACTTTAAACGAGTCGGTGAGTTGTCCTCCGTGGACGATTTGGCAGTTTAGTCCATCATAGGAGTTCCGTATGATATTGACTATCTTCTCAGGCACGCCGTAGTGTCGAAGAAGCTTCCATAGTGTCGTCCTGTCCACGCTATCAAATGCCTTCTCGTAGTCGATGAAGTTGATGTAGAGTGATGAATTCCATTCGATTGATTGTTCCACAATGATCCACAGAGTTGCGATTTGATCTGTGCACGATCTATCCTTACGAAATCCAGCTTGCTGATCTCGAAGTTGGGCGTCCACGGAATCCTTCATCCTGTTTAACAATACTCGGTTGAAAACTTTTCCTGGTATTGAGAGAAGAGTGATGCCCCTGTAGTTGTTGTGTAGTGAACAGAACACTAGTTGGGGACAATCGAATGTATTTAAGCAAAGATTACAGACTATCTCAGTAAATTCTGATTACCAAACAATGAACAGTCAATTTGCAAATTAATAACCAATTGTTTCAATCTTCACTGTTTCTTCTCTAATTCCATTGCTCATGCATTTTCCAAACGATTGCGCTTCATTTCAGTTCTTTCCTCATCGGTCTTCTGCCAAAATACATTCTATGTCTGACCCACGCCATATACTACTTATATGGATATAAGTAGACACCACCACACTCGTCCCCCCTTTAAAGCATTCGTTCATGCGGTGGTTCTGCTCGCCACGCCGCTATCTTCTTCCACTGCAGTCTGTGCCAAACTCTCCGTCAGAATGTCGAGTCTGCGGCGCGCTGACCTCCATAGCTCCGTCGACCTGCCGGGGCACCAACATCCGCATCCACCCGGCACCTGGGACGTTCAACACCCGCACTCCACCGGCCTGCTGAGCCATCTACATCCAATGTCCGCCCAGCAGCCGCACGTCCCACTGCTCCTCTCCGTCGACAGCACCCGCTACAGCCAACGCCGCCCCGCCAGAACACTCCACTCGACGCCACCTCTCCTCACCAGACTGCCCCAACTAGCACCTCCACTCCAGACCCGCAGCGGCGTCCGCAGAACAGCACCCTTCCTCCTCCTGGTTGGCAGCGACACCAAATGTTGTGAACAGAACACTAGTTGGGGACAATCGAATGTATTTAAGCAAAGATTACAGACTATCTCAGTAAATTCTGATTACCAAACAATGAACAGTCAATTTGCAAATTAACAACCAATTGTTTCAATCTTCACTGTTTCTTCTCTTATTCCATTGCTCATGCATTTTCCAAACGATTGCGCTTCATTTCAGTTCTTTACTCATCGGTCTTCTGCCAAAATACATTCTATGTCTAACCCACACCATATACTACTTATATAGATATAAGTAGACAACACCACAGTTGCACTTGCTAAGATCACCTTTCTTCGGTATTTTGATCAGAAGTCCTTTTTTCCAGTCTGTTGGTACTTGTTCTTCGTCCCAAATCTTACTGAAGAGGATGTGGAGTATCTTGGCAGTTGCTGTTACATTTGCTTTCAGTGCCTCTGCCGGGATGTTGTCTGGTCCCGCTGCTTTGCCACTCTTGTCTAATGGCCATGCTGATCTCTTCAATTGTTGGTGGGCCAATATCGATTGGGAGGTCCGTGGGTGCTGCTTCGATGTTGGGTGGGTTCAGTGGAGCTGGTCGATTCAAGAGTTCTTTGAAGTGTTCTACCCACCTGTTTCGTTGTTCTTCAATGTCGGTGATTACTTTGCCTTCCTTGTTTTTCACTGGTCTTTCTGGCTTACGGTAATTTCCAGCAAGTTTCTTTGTTGTATCATACAGTTGTCTCATGTTTCCCTCTCTTGCAGCCTTTTCCGCTGTCGTTGCTAAATCTTCCACATATTTAAGTTTGTCGGTTCTGATGCTCCTCTTCACTTGCTTGTTTGCCTCTGTGTATTCCGCTTGTGCCTTGGCTTTTTCCGCTCTGGTTCGGCTGATATTGATTGCTGCCTTCTTGTTCCTCCTTTCTTTCTCCGCCTGTAGCTCCTCTGGGGGTTACTGCCGGTCCCAAGCCCGGGTAAAGGAGGAGGGTTGGGCATGGGGTTAGCGACCCCATCCCGTAGAAAATCAACTCGCTAAAAAAACGCTAACCAGAAAAAATCATTCAAACCATTCAAACTCTGCCCTGGGAGTAGAAGGAATAATGACGTCTCATGATGAAAGCCGAGTTCCTTCGGAAGTCATGAGGCCGATGCACCTTCTTACAACCAGAGCGACAATTTTTCGTACACTTGTTTGTCTTTAATAAATATGTTTCCTCTCGACTTAGAACGTTTAAGTTTATTTTGAAAGAGTGTGGTGAGTGCTGAGGAGTTATTACTAAGTTCGATAGCACGTTTTTCCTGTTCGATTGCTTTTTGTGTACTTATTGTGTCTGTCTGGACAAGTATTTCTGTCATCGTTACTAAAGAAGAGAAATCATTAGAGTTGCAGGAGCGAATACAATGTCTCTGCAGACGTCTTCGTGTACCGACCGGTATATACAGATCTTTAGAAAACTTAGGTCTCCAGTACTCTAAAGGTGCGATTTTGTTGGTGATAAAATATATTGGTTAATGTGTCGGTATTGTTTGCAGTAAAAAATGTTCCCCAGTCAGTGCTTCTTAGGTAATTGTGAAAATTATTCCAATCTACCTTGCGATAGTTTCTACGAAGGGTTGCATTTTTACGTCTACCGTCTGTGTTTTTTATATTAAGGCTACATACGACAGTGTTATGATCACTACCTGGAAACGTTTTTACAATATACACAGTATTGGGGGTGAGGCCACTGGTAAAGACTAAGTCCAAGATATTTTGATGTCTGGTAGGGCTACTAACATATTGAGTCCACTGTCCTAGTTCTGGACATTCAATAAATGATTCATAACGTTTCGGAGCTTTGACTGGAAACCAAGAAATTTCAGGCATGTTGAAATCACCACAAATGAGCTTGCCTGTGAATGGAAGGGATGATGCTAGTGTGAATACCTTTGATAATACTGCTATTTCACCTATTGCCAAGTTAGGTTGCTGGTAGATACAGCCGAACAGTAAGGTAATGGAATTTGATGGCTTTAAAACAATCCACACCGAGTCCTTCAGTTTGTTTAGTTCAGGCATATCGCATAGTAGTGAGTTTAAGCTAGAGTGAGCATAAATAAGGCATCCTCCGCCTCGTCCTTTCAATCTATCGCTTCTATATAGGAGGTAGTTATCAAGAGATATACTTAGATCGGAAATATTACTGTTAGTCCATGCTTCAGATATCATTATAAGTGATGGTTGATATATGGAAGCAAGCAGAGCTAAATCAGTCTTTTTATTGCAGATCGACCTAGCGTTGATAAGACACATATTAAACAAGTGGCCTACTAAGTTAAAGTGAGTGAGAGTATTTCGATTAAAGATGTCATGACCCTCGCGTGAGTGATGTATGTTTGAAGTAATGGATTGAGCGTTTTTCAAAAGCTCTGTATTTTGATAGCTAGAGTTACTGGGGCATGTATCAAATGAGCTAGTGAAGTTGCTTGGGGAGTTTATCCGGGAGGAAAGGGCGGGAGTACTTTCTGATGCGAACTGTACGGGGGAAGCGAGTTTATGTTCCGCACTTGGTTTGAAATGACTAGGGCTATATGCTTCAACAGGGGTGCAACTAGGGGCGTTATACCAAAAAAAAATCTGGTACATGTTGACTGTAAAGTGTACTGTTATTTTCAAGACAGTTTTGATGGTTAAGCTCGTAGCCTCTGTTATAACTATTTGCGCTAGTGCGAGCATGAGAGGGGTCTGATGCTCGTAACTGAAAGTGGTTAGGACTGTTGTTATATATGGAGGCTGTCTTCATGTGGTGGGTTGATACTGGAAAGTTCTCATTCTGAGAGTAATTACAATTGTGATTCTGGGGAATGTACATAGGGCGTGGGGTGAAGAACCTGTAATTACCATGCTTATTCACGGTTTTAGGCTTAAGAAGGTGAGTGGAGTGATCAGTATTCTGATAGTTTTTGTGAGTGTGCGTGTAAAAAGGTTTGTTACGCTCAAGCGTACTACCCATTGTGCGAGGTGTTGATGGCAAGTTACATGATATCAGCGGGTAGAACCTATTCACTGTTGTTGGGATACCCACAGAACAGTTGGCCTC